AAATTTCACGTAGCTTCGTAAGCTGAACTATTCCTGGAAGAGGCAATGAACATTTCTGGTTCATATTTTTCGATCTTCCTTCTACTAAGGTTGTTTTTAATACATATTATTAATTGTTTTTATAACGATTAAAAGATTTACTTATCTCTTTATACATAAGTATGATGAAATTGTATAAAACTGTGTTTTAGTCTTAGTAGAAAAATCATTTTGTTTCTATAATTTTACAATAAATACATACAAATATAATAAATTAATAATTGAAGTAATGTACATACATACACTCACACATACAAACACGCGCGCATTCATGCACACACACACATATACGGTAAGATGGGGTCTTAATAATCTATCTGTTTATTCATCAGAGCAAAGTTTTCCTACAATAATTTTTAAACGTTCAATGAATTTGATATGGAATCAAACTCTAAAATATATTCATTTTATACTTTCAATAAATTTTCCCAAATTTAACAGAAATAAAATTAGACGGTCGACAAAAGTGACACGCATTTCTGTTGCCAATATTGGTTGCACTACTTACAAACATTAAAATTTATATAAACATTACAATTATACATACAACAAGATTTTTCTATTATGATTCAAAGTTAGGAGGTTCGTTTCAATGACTAAATAATAGATGAGACAATAAAAGCAATAGAAGAGGCGCCAATGTAACACCCGAAGCATTTCCATGATCGAGCAAAATACGAACCAGAAACGTAACAAAAAAAGAGAAATACAACGTTGCCTGACTCAGAAACTTCGTCTGCTCACATTTCGAAAACGAAGTTCCTAATTGCAAAACGATAGAAACATTTCCAACTCCTTTTCGACAAGAAGAATCAGCACATTCTGATTCGTAAAACATTTTTGGGGCGCTTCGTATATTTACAATATTTGCAGTAACGGTTGATTCGATATTATTTTCCAATTTATACAACGTGTCTTTTTCTTCGTCCCTCTCCCGTGCAATTAAAACCGTTCATTTGCGGTACGTCCGTTGCACTCGTAAATCTAGGATAACTCCGAACACTGTCCAAGAGCGATTGGCAAACCAAATGGTATCTCAATACTCGCAGACTCTCTAACAATAAGTAACGTCTCGAAGAGTTCCATTTTCTACGTATGTCTACGTAGAGGTATTCCCTACATTATGCATCCATTCTGAAATCTATGGTTTCGTCGAGAATTTATCGGTAAAGGTTTATAGCTACGTCTCCGCTACTGTATCGAAAAGGGGGGGGGGTGTTAGCAATTACAATTTCACGTGTCGGAATGGTTCAGTACAAAGTGGCTTGGCAGTGTTTAACATTGGTGACCGTAACAACATGATCTGACGATTTTATCCGGATACTGAATTCGTCGGTGTAATTTCTGTCGAGTAATATCCGAATATCCCCATTTAAAATGGAACATATTCCAGATGATCAGACACTGGAATAATAACGTAAATTTATTTTTGAAATATCTAAACACGAAGAAATAACAAATTGGATTAAGTGTACAGTATTTCCTCCTTGTAATGGCATTTTGTTAACGTTGCTACTATCGCAGCGTCGTATGCATCATACATTGGAGTTAGTTAATGGTATAGATCCTGGAAATGATATAGTGAGGTTGCAAATTAAAGCTTCAAGTTGGAACACCGATAGATGTAGCCGCGCCAAGGGTCGTTTTACGTGCTTTGTAGAAGTAGCACCTTCAACATCAGGCAGCAAAAGTCATTTGTGAATTGATATTTACAATTTCTGCTTATAGTCTTTCGTTAAAATTACACGATATTAAGACCCCGTCACCTATTCCTCGTTAACAATTACTGTACTAGTAAGTAACCTGCAATTGTTAAAGAATAGGAAACATACTTTTTCCTTTTTCCAATTTTACAACCTCACTTTATCGATTCCAGTACCCATAATGCTGCGTGTCAGCTTAAAAGTTTTACTCTCGACAGTTGCTTTTGAAATTCGAACATAAAATAGTTCCATCTATCCATGACAGTAAAACTCGTTAGAGTTAACCGTTAAGTAGACATTTACTTGAACTACATACCTTTAAAAATTACTCTAAGCTGGACACGTAGCACAAGTATTGAAGGTTTTGCTTGACTATTGTAGATGACGTGAAGAGGCAAGACATAATCTTATCCAATGTATCCTATAGTTGTGTTACCGGTCCCGAGAGATACTATTATAAAGAGGGAATGCACTGCATACAACTTAACACAGTTTTTAGTAAAATAGTTCGACTTCCATAACAATTCTAACACATACAATTCAGTTCTGGGCATTAGATACATTACTTAAACATAAGTCTACCCTACACTCATTATTCACATAATTATTTAACACCTAAAAATCATCATTTTTTGACAAATCCAGAACAGTCATGTGTACGTACAGGTAACATTTCGAACTCTGTAATTAATCATTTGGAATAATTAGTTTATAAATGTGTAAAATGAAGTCTTTCAATTAATATTTGGATATTTCAATATAAATATCCGGATAGTCGCAGTCCTAATACGATGTTCCGCGCATAAATTATAATAAGTACCCTAGTAGCATTTATGGTTGGCCAACGGTATCCAACAGTTAGGAGTTATTTGGGATATAGTTAGTGTTTTTGCCTACAAATTCCCAAACGACGAACAGGTTATGACAATTTGCCAACGAATATGTAATGTTGGGCCTACAATTATTATAGTTGGTTAATTAACAAGAAAATTACAATGATAATACAACATTGGCCAAGCCAAAGTTTTCCAACATTTAAATATCTTCTTAAAGACGTCAGAAACGTTGCTGTCAACCAAAAACTTGTTATTATATTTCAAATTGATTTTTTGTTTTCCTATTTATGAATATACTCACAATTTGTTACTGTTGCGAAACACGTTTAACATTTGACATTTTGTGAAAATAGAGTCAGGGGACAGAAGATTGGAAATAACTTATAATAATTATTTGTAATAATTAGCTACATGTATAAATTGTACATAATAAATTGTAAAGGTAACTTTGCTGGTAAAACACTTGTTTACCCGTTTAATATACGTATACAATTTATACACGTATATAATTATTATAAATATTATTTCCAGTGTTATATTCTTACTAATATTTGTAAAGAATTTTATGGAAGTGTAGCATAGCCAATTGTCTTCCTATTGTTGGTTTATTGTAGATACTCAACAATTGGCCCTAAGAAAGAAACCTCCAATTCGCCCTTCGTAGTAGAGAGACGTGGGCCCTACGTTGGGTATGATTGCTGGCCCAGTTGCAAAAAAGGGTGACAATTCTAACTGTTGGCCAACCAATAGTGCATCAAAGGCCCATAAAAATGCCAACAGTAATTGCTACTAGGGTAGTCTCTTGAAACAAATGCGTCATGCAAGCGTGGTATAAGCTTCGTTACAATAAACATTTTAATAATAGTTCGGAGGATTTTCAGTCGGAAAGATTCAATCTATTCGTGCGTAATTCAAAGTTGTTGAACAACTCTTTCGTTCTTTAACGGTCTTATAGACAAATTCTATATATTAATAAGATTCTTGCGACCGCAAATGTAGAAACTCTAGGAAGCCGAAAATCATCGAATGTACGCAATTATTGATCTATACGAAACATTGTTAAATTTCTAATGAAACGTTACAAATTTTTTGTTCTCGTCAATTTTCCTATCCTTTTTTCTTTCTGTCGGTTAATTTCTTGGTCTTAAGCGCACTTATTAATTTGACACTATATTTTGGCGCAAGCATCCAAACGAAAATCGATCGCGTTTATAGAATTACGATTCTAATACTTTTCGGGTGTGATCGATTATTTACGTGCTATTACAAATAAACAAAAGTGATATTTCCCTTCTGTAAGAACCTAATGATATATTCAGCGAAAAGTCATCTATTTTTTTTTTTTGTTAGCGTAATTAGTCTTGGTTATTTTAATTCCTTTTCTTTCACCTGTTAATTTTATATTACTTTCCGTAACAACACATGCATTAAATTTACGAAAATAAAGAAATTCGAGGGTCCTGCTTATACTGAACTCTGATTAATGCAATTCTCCCTGATTTGCATTTGAACGCGTGTTGCTTACCATTAGCATCCATCATTTTGGATTTTCTAAAATTATTCGAAAGTAGAGGTATTGAAAAACACTTACTGAATTCGGTCGAGATTATTGAGAGAACATGTATTCACGAATATTCTCGCTCGAAATGTATTCATTTTCTCGTGCAAGTATTTTGGCCGCCTCGATTGTCCGCATCAAATACGCCTTATTCATTTAGGAACGCTTTTCTTACGTTTAAAATAATTCATTATTAACGTTCTCAGAACAAGTTCGGGTTTCTATATAACATTCTTAATGCAAGCGATTTTAAAATATACGCTTTGTACTCGTGTCAATTCAAGTTTGCAATTTTCACAACAAAAATATCATTTTCGAGCATATTTTATTTTTCAAACGTAGGTTTTTTTCAAGCGAATAAAATGCACTGACAGTTACTGTAAAATTTGCAAAATGATCTCTTGGCTCGATAGTATATAGAAAAGTATTTTTTTATAAAAAGCAAAATCAATTCGTCGACAAAATATTGACAAATATTTTTTTGCGTTTCTTTTATTATTTGAACGATCAAATTGCGATAACGATTAAAATGTATTATAACCAGAATTGTCAATAAATTAAGAAGGATTTCTAATAAAGAAGAATACCAAGGAACTCGAACTTGTCCTGAAAGCGATAGCTTTTTCTACAGTCTCGCCCTTATCAGTTCTACAGATGGATCCTACATCCTCGCGCAATTTTTTATCTTTCATAAGGCGCGATTGAACTCCGCCGGAAGAGTGGAAAAGATTTTATCAGGGAAAAGTGATCATTCAGCTGATCCAGCCCGCACGTTTACAGGTTCCTATAGTTCCGTGAGACGTGTCAAAACTTCGGCGATCGTACGAAATCGAGGGATCCCGCTATGACTGTCTTCAAAGGAGATCAAGACGCCCCGTAGACACAGGCAGAGTTGTCAGGCGGACTGATCTTCTCCACCGGCAGAATTGCTGCTTTGTGCCATTCGTCGCGTACCTAGAATTCAAATATTCAAGTTTTACATAAATATTGAAACAAAGCAATGAATGTCGGGGTTTTTCGTTAATATCTCGTTAACCAAGCCGCGGATAACATTTTTGCTAAGGAAAAATGTGTTTCAAATCACTTCACGAGTCTCCCATATCCGGGTCCTCCAACATTTTTGTTACACCCTGTATACATACACTTGTGGGCCAAACTTTACCACAGCAATTATTCTTGCAACATTCTTGAAGCTTATAAACCTTAATTAAATTGATTTTATGCAGAAAGCAATTAATCACCATAGCCCATATTTCAATCGAATAAAAATTATTTCTTCATAAATAAACGATTCTGTTTCGATCTATAGAAACGGCAATTTCATATGGTATAACGTAATACACTACTTTTTCAAATCTAACCATATTTTTCTACGAAGCTAAACAAAGCTTGTTTCGGTTGTAATATGATTAAATGGGCTTAGGAAGAGGGATCATCTTAATTAATTGAAAAACGTATCACCCACCTGCTCGACCTTCGCAAATACCCTCAGTAAATTGAGGCCAGCCAATTTTTTAATGTCCTCCTCCGACCATGCAGGGTCTTCCAGCAGTGTGGCCAACAGCTGAGGATACCTTGATACGTCCTCCAAACCGGTAGGAGTGCTGGAAACGACATTAATATTGACAGGCATGGCCAGTTCGGTCGCGCTATTTTTTTCATTCAGAGAATAAAAAGATCACCGGCAAAATGAGATATGCATCCAGTGTTTCGTATTCAGTAGAAGCAATTTTATGATTCCCGCGTGCGCGCTCCTCAAAATTATTCATTCTCCGTGTCGGAAATTGTTGTAAATCCCACCATAGATGGGAAACTGTTAATTCTTCATCGAGCCCCCCCCCCTCTCCTCTGGCACACCGATATTAACGATTCTCTGAATGCACAATGTATCAGGGACACAGTCAAAAGATAATTACAAATTTATCCCGTCGAAGCCGGCTCCTATTCCAACGTGATCGATTCCCGCCACCTTTCGGATGTGATTGATGTGCGCTGAAACAGCATGGCAGCCCTTGATAAGCTTGGTCGGATCGGAGACGTTTTAAATGTTGATTTTATTATGTCCAACCGGTCCTGTCATTAACGTTTCATTAACGTTTCGCTTCGATTACAATTCCATCTCCCATGTGGAGTGTCGACCAATCCCGTTCGAACGTTTCGTGTTTCGTTAATTGACAGAACAGGATTTTCACTCTGATGTTTGGACATCATTGATTGAACTAACTTTGCATGGATTTACCACTAATGTAATCGCAGAATGTATTCTGTTATCGATATGTATTCGAAAGATCGTGAATAACCGTAATTTTAATTTGGAATTTGTAAATATAGTGGACCTTTTTAATATAGTGCTATTTTTTTTTTATATAATATCTATGTATGTATAGTCAACCGATATTAATTATTGTTAATTGAACGGTGAATTGAACGATGTTCAAATAACCGACATTCTAGTGTATAATTTTCTGTTAAAATTGGCTAATAGTTCATCAAGTATAATGATTTTTTTTGTTAAAAATATAATATGCAAAATTAGCACTAACACTTTGAAGTACAAGTATAATATTGGTACTTTTGGAGAAAACATATCCTCATGCGAAGGGGCGACTTTGAGATTAATAATTGCATATTATTACAGTGGAATGCTGCCTTTGATGTTTATAGCTAGCAACAAAAGAACACGCAGTTATTGTGTTCTACGTACCAATAACGTCTTTTATTGTTGCGGTGCTGTTGCACGTTATGAAGTATGTATAAAACGGAACCATTGCCACTCCGCCGTTTTTAGCCTGCGAACAGATGCATTAACATCAGATATGTTGAGATTGTGAATTTTGTAATACATTTCGCATAAGAAAATAGCTATTGTAAAAGTCATTTGAACAAAAAAAAGTGGTGGGGATGACGTCTGGACAATAATCGTATATCAACAAAGAGTCAATAATCGCGAGGCCCCTGTATACTTATTTGTAAAGTTCACTTGTAATCTTGTGCAGGTGTATTTGAAACCTTAACATACAGTTGAAGTCAGCAACTAGCAATACAACCCACAAAAGGTAGGTACATCTTTACCACTCGAGGTGTACCGAATTTAACTTAAAGTTACGAGGCCAACTAACGTTCCGAGTGGTACCCCGGCGATGAAATAAGCATCGGCCTATCTACGAGTCACAATTCCCTATGTGGTACTCCGGTGATGAAATAAGCATCGGCCTATCCACGACTAACAATAATTAAAACAACCGATCCTCGTCTATAATAACAGCCGGAAGCATCTTTAGCCCTCGGTTTGTAACAACTAAATGAAAAAATGAATAATCTTTAAATGAATTCATTTGATTTATTCTGTTTTTTAATGTAGCGATTCTTAGAATGTTTCTGTAAATATATCAAATCTTTTTGTTATTAAACAAATAACTCCCAATTGAACGTTATCCCTAACAAGAAAAATGTCATTTACATTTCAGTCACACTAATATCCTAAGTATCACATTGTTTATTAAATATAGTAAGAGAATAAAAACAATGATTACGAACTCTATATTTTACATTGTAATTTATTGTTAATTCATTAGTGAATAGAATAACATCGGTATTTACTTAATTTAGATTATTCATTTATAGTTCATCCGTATTTCAACATTGAAATAAATATATTCTATACGGAACTATAAATATATTATATATATATTCTAAATATACTATAAATACATATATTCTCTATGCTACATTGGAGGTAATCTTCTCTTTTTTATAAATCAAAAGGCATTGTTTATTTCGGGCGTTCCAGTTCTTGCTAGCGTTGGCGGCCTGCAGTCGATGTTCTAGCTAAAGAATTTTTATAATTAACGAGTAACGTCGCCATTTTATAACATTTTATAAAATTGGTCAATATAGTAGAAAGCTACATATATATCCTCTCAAAAATTGAAAGATTTCATTTATTAATTCTCTATGACAAAAATTCCAAAATTTACCTATTTTTAGATGCCTCAGGATGCTATATTAAGTACTTCAGAAGTACCGATTGTACATATAAGGGTTGTTTTCATTACGCATCCCCAAACACTTCGTCAGCAATATTCATTTAATTTCATTGCTGTGAAATAAACGCAATGTCGGTAAGCACAGAATTTATTAAAACTTTCATAGAATCTGCGAGTTGCTTTCGGAAGTTGTGCTCGGAGCTACTCATCGTATCGACGCACAATTTACGTTTCTCCGACTTTAATCCGTAACTTGTGCGGTACGTGTTACGCCCGCGGATATTAAAAAAGTTGCGACTCGAGATGCGGTGATTTCCGCGTATATCTACGACTGGAACACACACGATAAAATTCGATGAGCGGTTCTAGGAAACAAGTATTAATTTTAATGAAATAAATGATAATAATGTATTTAAACAATCAAGTGAAAATGAATTTCTATGGATGCATATATTATGGTAAAATTAAAAGGGCTCGAGGATTTATTATTTGGAATTTGGTCTATGATGGAAGGTTACCTTTATTCGCTACCCGGCCAGGTCTTAAAACGTTGGCCAATAAAATTTGAAGAAATCGTAAAGTTACTCGGTGGGAATGCAATTTCACTCCAACGGGGTGGTGTATATACTGCCTTGAAATTTTAATATCGCGAACTCCTATAAATCATATTTTCCGCTTACCTACTAGGATTTTGAAACGATTGATTCAGGATCCCATGAAACATTCAATGTCCACAATTCCAGGTTGAGATCTTTACCAACTGATTCAGAACCTCTCCTCAAATATTATTTTCATGATTGCTGGGCAACAATATTTTTTCATTGTACGCGGAACCGTTTGTTTATACTGTACGCTGATTTTCAATTATAAACATTTGCATTTTGTGTTTTTTTTGGTTCTACAGTTTATTTCATATCAAACTGATGCCTTTAATCTTTACTATGTCAATTAAAAGAGAATAAAGTGATTTGATTCGATAAATTACATTTTGTAATCGATTAGTAAATGTCGACTGGTTAAAGTAAATTGGCTACTTTTCAAATATAATTTCTTAAAGGGTCCTTCAACAAATAATTTTTGAAATATTCAATTATTGGTAATGATTCCTCAAATTTTTTATTTTTCCATAGTTGATTAATGTATAATAACTTCAAAATTACAATACAATGTAATTGCTTATTTGCAAACGCACTACTGCCCAAAGTGACCTATAATCAAAAATTTATGTTAAAGAAACTAAAACTTTCAAACTTTGAAAATTCAAGTTCCATGTGTTTATTTGGCCAGTAGTAAACAGTACAAAAATTTTTGGAACAATAAAAATTAATTTAGGTGATGGGGGTTTCAATTGAACTTTTTAACCCTCATCCGTCCTTTATTTTCCCAACCTAGTTTGTCCCTCGATGTCCAATTGACATAGTGATAAAAAATTAATATAACCAAGAGATTGTTATGTATGATGAATTTTCTATCATACCTCTTGTTCTAATAGTCTGACCTTGCACCTGACAAAGGAAAATGTCCTTACGTTTTCGTTAACAAAAAAACTAGGAAGCGTGACGCAACTTCAACCTTCAAAAATTTCCTTATATGGAAATTTCATAGCATACCCACCAATTTCTAGACCTATATAAACCCGTTGATTTCAACCCTCGGAGGATCAAAACTGTACCGTCGCCTTTAGAGTCACGTCGCGTCACGTTCTTGTGAGTTGGTCATTACGTTAGTGAGATCGGGCTAAAGTTCCCTTTCGAATCCAGTTAACCTTGTAGTAAACCGTGAACACTTTATTTGTATTCCGGCTAGAATTATTACTTCGGTATTATTCTGTAAGATCCACTCCCAACCCCCGCATCGCCAGTGCGTTAACACCGAGCACATATTTATTTCGGTAATAGTTATTATTTCATTATTACTTACTACTACGCGACAACACTACACAACACATTTGTAACTAAAGACTGATTAATTATACGGTTATTTTATAAATCTGTGTAGTTCATTTTGAATCCATGACACGATCCAGAAATCTGTACTATTATCGATATACTAGTTTCCTCTAGTTTAGAATAATATCAGGTCAATCGTTCCCACACTAATACAACTTTACCGCTCGAGTTGTAATAATTATAATTTCATAGGTTACGAGGTACTAACTAACATTTCCTAACGGCTCCCTGATTTCGCATCAGGTTCGTCCGTGCATTACATGTATCCAAAAGTATTATCAACCCAGTGGCTCTCCGATTTCGCATCGGATTCGTCCACGAAAATTGACCAATCCTGCGGCTCCCTGATTTCGCATCAGGTTCGTCCGCATCCTAACAGCTCCCTGATATCGCATCAGGTTCGTCTGTACAGACTTTCCACCCACCTCGCAGCTCCTCAGTTACGCGCTGAGTTCGTCTGCAAAATCAAATCCTAGTGACTCCCCGATTTCGCATCGGGTTCGTTCACGCATTTTACCTTCCTGCGGCTCCCTGATTTCGCATCAGGTTCCAGGTTCGTCTGTACAGATTTTCCACCCTCCTCGCAGCTCCTGAGTTATGCGCTGGGTTCGTCTGCAAAATCACATCCTAGTGACTCCCCGATTTCGCATCGGGTTCGTTCACGAATTTTACGTTCCTGCGGCTCCCCGATTTCGCATCGGATTCGTCCAGGAAAATTGACGAATCCTGCGGCTCCCTGATTTCGCATCAGGTTCGTCCGTGCATTACATTTATCCAAGAGTATTTCCAACCCAGTAGCTCTCCGATTTCGCATCGGATATGTCCACGAAAATTGACCAATCCTGCGGCTCCTTGATTTTGCATTAGGTTCGTCCGCATCCTAACAGCCCCCTGATTTCGCATCAGGTTCGTCCGCAAGTGACTCCATTCCTAGAGGCTCCCTGATCATCGCATCAGGTTCATCCTCGTTTTCAAACATCCTAGCGGCTCTCTGGCTTCGCGTCAAATTTGTCCGCGCATCTTACTAATAAACTGATACCATATTCCTTGGAAAACCTACACTCCACGGCCTCTCGCGTTGCTACGACCCGGGCTCGTACCAAGATTTAAATCTCCCTACACATGGCAGAAGAACATCATTTCTTAACAGAGAAACGTGTCAAATTGACACAACAGACGGATGAGGATTAACAATCTTTTTCACGAGTTGATGTAAAATGCAGTAGAATAAGATGTTCTAATTTCCTACACTCGATACAACACAACGCGATTCCCCTGTATTCCCCTTGAACTGTTATAACTCGATCCCAGGCAACGACCCAGCTGCTCCCGGACAATTCATCAGTCCTGAGTTCCTGATAAAAATTTAAAGAACTCTGACCGTGCAGAGGTGATCTTTATCCGTCTCGGGTAACCCAGCACAGAATGGTTCGAGCCATTGCGCCCAATTTTATCTGGCCCTTTTATCTTCGCCTGCTATCGAAAACTACTGAATCAGTCAATCAGGGAAAAACAATGGCCAGCTTGTCTATTGAATAATACCTGACCCGACTTAAACTATGAGCCGGCGGACGTTAATTGGGCCAGCAGCAGTGCGGTACAGCTAATAACATGTCGCTGGACTTGCCGTAGTTCGGTTTCTGATTTCATTCTTCGTCATGATCGAGTTGGTATTGATTATGACGGTGAAGGAAACAAGGAATATCTTGATATCCGATCGCAAACAACTTTTTCCACTAATCCCAATTAGGTGACTTGTTCCATTAGTAAAAGCTCTTTCTGATCTACTTGAATTTAGGGGAATTTAACTCTTAATTAAAAGACGACTGGACTTAGAGATGAATAATATGACAA